AAGAGTTTTTCCAGAATTTTTGAAAATTGTGACAACAGAGAAACCGGTCTATAATTTGTGAAGTTGTGCTTATCACCAGATTTATACAGTGGAATAACCTTTTCTATTTTCATATTATTGGGGAACTGCCCAAGTCAAAACGACATGTTAAAAATATGGGTTAATGGTTTGCATATCCCCTCAATTACCCATTTAACAGTTGTCATAGTGATACCATCACTATCACTAGATGTTTTGTTACCACATTTATGCACTATCTCTATAATTTCCTTTCCAACTATGGGCTTCAAAAACATAGAACTCACATTCCTTTTGATTGCATTATTATTTATAGTGACAGATGTATCATCTGTACAAATGCTTCTTGCTAAACCAGGACCAACATTCACAAAGAACCTATACATCACAAAGAGCTGTTTCTGTTTGGCAGTGCAGGCTTTGAGTCAACTATTTGGAGCAGCAGAGGTGGACTTACTGGGTTTTATTTAGTTTTGTTTTTGGTATGACCAAAACTTAAAATGAAAGCAGCTACTGTACCTCATTACTGACTTTATTTAATTAGATGGCACATCTTTATTAAAAAGATGGCGCAGACAGCGATGGCAGCCTTGTTTATTTGCACTCTTGTTTGTTGTTTTTCTTTGTTTTCTCGGTCTTTGGCAACCCATTCTGGACTACTTTTACCAGAGAAAAACTGTTAAATATCAGACAACTCCCACCAAAATACCTTTCTTTGATTTTTGTGAACAATGAATGCTGTATAGAAATTCTGATCGGAGGCGCAGCTGCAATCTACGGGATCTGGAGAAAATGCCTTTGAGGGAAGCAGGCAGGAGCACTGGTCAGACTATGCCAGAGAGGGACCCGAACTCCACTCCAGTCTATCCACCTAGCGAATGTCCGCCTCCCAGGTCAACAACATGGATGAAATTCTTCTCGTCAACAGGACCAACTCTGACTTCACACGCTCTGCTGCTTTGTGCTTCACGGTGACTTGGCTCAGTGTCTCCATCGCAGATGTTGAGATACATGTACCGGGCTTCCAGGTGTTCAGAGCAGATCGTGTAAAGGAGCTGTCCAGGAAAATGAGAGGAGGGGAAATCTGTCTTTACATAAATGAAGGCTGGTGCACTGATGTCACGGTGTCACAGAGGACATGTAATACAAACTTAGAGACTCTTGTTAATTCTTTCATTCTAATTGGAGTGTACATAAGAGTGCAGGCCCACACTAGCACACTACAGCTCCTGGCAGAACTGATAAATAGCGTGGAGCTAGAACATCCTGACTCTCCACTCATTGTTCTAGGGGACTTTAACAGAGCAAATCTCAGCCACGAACTGCCCAGATACAGACAGCATGTCACCTGTCCCACCAAAATCACACTGGACCACTGCTACACAATAATAAACAACGCCTATTGCTTTGTCCCCCGTGCAGCCCTCGGTCTCTCTGATCATTGTATGGTCCATCTTATTCCAACCTACATGCAGAAACTGTCAGGGAAGGTGGAAGAGTGAACCCAATTAAAGAGCCAGTCAGCTGAGGCAGCAGAACACGTTTTAATGTCTTTCAGTGATTTAAACAGAAACACACACAGTCTTGAGGGATCCGGCAGAAGAGTGGTACTTAAGACGGTCCAAGGTTGAAGTCTCTGCCTTTTGCTGGACAGACAACAACGCCTGATGGCCAGGCTCCCCACAGTATAGGCACAAGTTCAGCCTGATTCTGTGTTCTCTCTCTCCTGGGTTTAATCGGGAGCGTCCCAGTTGCATGGGTTCAGGGTTTTCAGTTGCTGTCCAGACGAAATCCTGGAGTGGGCATCTGGTGTTGTCTATGTTCGGATTGTCTCTCTCTGTATTGGCCGTCTATTCTGGCTACCTGATCCATTAGCGGCCGCAGGCGTCTGGGCTGGTTGTTAGCTGTGAGTGCGTCTTTCAGTCTGTCTGATAACCCTCTATAGAAGGCATCAATCAACGCGGGTTCATTCCATTCTGTACTGGCAGCCGCGGTGCGGAAGTCTATTATGTAATCCGCTGCTGTCCGGTTCCCTTGTACCAAGGTGCGTAGAGAGGGAGAAGTGGCTGTAGCGTGGCTGGGTGGGTCAAAGATCCTCATTAGTTCCACCCCAAACCTTTGAAACGTAGTGCAGCAGTCAGATCGGTTGGCCCACTTGGCTGTACCCCACCAGCGTGCTCGGCCCGTCAGTAATGATAGTGTGTAAGTGACCTTCAACTGCTCCATGGGGAAAGCCGAGGGCTGGGACTCAAACTGTATCTCGCACTGAGTCAAAAAAGAACAGCTGTCCCCACTCTCTCTGCCGTACTGCTTCGGGGGTGGGATTCTAGGCTCATGGACACTTGGCATGGTGACTGGATGCTGTACCGAAGCCCCAGCAGTGGCGCCTCGAGGCTCTTCCTCGTGAGCCACACCATGTACCGTGGTTTGTGCTGTCCCCAGCGCAGCCTCATGAGCGGCCAGAGCCCATTCAATGCGCTCTTGCCATTCACGGAGTTCGCTACTGGCTGGGTTTATTTTGGTCTTGTGGGATCAAGCAGAAGAGTGGTACTTAAGATGGTCCAAGGTCGAAGTCTCCAGCAGAGCAGCAGGGAATGCAAGGCAGAATCACACGTAGGTTGAACAGGCAGGATGTTGATCTCAGGTTGGCAGTCAGGCAAGAGGGTGCAGGCTGGATAACAGGTCGTTAGAGCAGGCAAGGGTTTAGTACCAGAAAAGCAGTCACAGGGAAATAATGCTGATCCTCACACTGTGAGGAGCTGATGTGGTGAACAGGTGTGGGTGATTATCAGCAGATGAAATGTAGGACCTAAGCATCCTGCATGTTCATTTCTGAGGAAGAGTTGAAGTCTGAAGAACCTTTAAAATATTTATTACAACCTTGATGAAGAAAAAAAAATTCTGCTGCAGGAAGCCAGAACCACGAGTTTCCTCTGCATAGAGAATTTATAATAAGAGTCATGCAAATGATCTGACGTCATCTGGGTTGTCCTTCATCCTCGTTCCTTGATTGGTTTCTTGACCTCGTTCTGACCCCTCATTTGGTGATCTTGTCGCCAGGCAGATTTTGATCTGACACTAAGTACAACATCCTGACCTTTTGACCTAGACATTACACTCCTACATACGTCTTTATTAACAGTTAGTTGTTGTCTGCAGATTTAGGAAGAGCGCCAGCGTTGCTATGCAACCGGGGTCTACTTCCTGTATGTGGTTTCCTGTCTACTCTTACAGCCTTACACATGTCTCCTATATTCTTCTAGACAAGTGAACTGGTTAAAGCAAAAGTAAATCATAAAGCATATGATACTAAAGTAAACTTGTAGATATATTTGCTAATGCAGATTATGTCAATCCTAGAATTTCCTATGTTGATAAATATTGATAATCTGAAGCCAAGACAATCAGACCTTACACCCACACACTATTCTCGTGCAGTTTAGTCCTCTCAGTATGTATCTGCACGACTTCCTGTTGTTCTGAGTCTCTCTGCACCTCTCACAGCATTCCATGTCCACATGTCAAATCTTTACAAAGGTCAAACAGATTAAACAATTACTTGAACAGTTTTGCAAATACATAACATAGCACTATATCATTTTATCAAGAATTTCTTTCTACAGAAACCAATGTACAAGATAAGATGAAGTTACTGGGGTTTAGGATGAGCTGGTGACAGGAAGTGGTATCAGAATAAAAGCAGGACACCGGAGGTGGACGGAGCAGGATCATGACAGAAACTTAAAGTTGCAAAGCCTGTGGTCAAGACAGTAAAGAGCTGGACTGAGGAGGCTAAGTCAGAGCTACAGGCCTGCTTTGACTGCACAGACTAGAGTGTATTTGAGACTGCAGCTACAGACCTGGACAAACTCACTGACACTGTGACATTTTATATCAGCTTTTGTGAGTATGTGTGTGTGCCCAAAAAGTCCTTCTGTACATACAACAACAACAAGCCCTGGTTCACAGCCAGACTCAAGCAGCTTCATCGTGCCAAAGAGAAGGCTTACAGAAGTGGGGACACCAGAAACACACTGACAAGGGAGATCAGAGCAGCAAAGAGCTACTCTGAAAACCTGAATGCCCAGGTTTCAGCCAGCGACTGCTCATCTTTGTGGAGAAGCCTGCAGACCCCTCACACCGGGACATAATCTGTTCAAGTCCTCCCCTCTGGACAGCATTACAGGTCACTGTGCGCCAAGACAACCAGGTACAAGGACAGTTTTTTTCCCCGGGCTGACAGTATGACTGGACAATAACCCTTAGTGCAATACCTGTAAATATACATTATACAGATTATACAGATCCATACAGGTATCTATTTTTAAGTACTCTATTTTTATTCCTATCTATCTTGTTTCACAATGAGCATTCCTTTGTCTGTCTGCATCATTTACTGCCTGTTTATACTGCTTAGTTTGTTGCTTGTTTATACTGTTTATTTTGTTATGCACTGTCAAGGACCAAGCAGTAAGGCAAAAGACACAGCTTCCAAAGTTCAAAATAAAGGGCTTTTTATTAACCCAAAAGTAAGAAAAATACTAAATTAACATCAGATAAATTGGGCTCTAAAAGAGGTCAACAAAAGATAAGGAAACTCAAAATACAGCAAAGTGAACTGTCTAATACCTCAACAAAACCAACTGACCTAACAAATGACACACACAGGGGAACATATATACTGGCTGGCCAAACCAATAACACACACAAGGGATAAACTAAAGACACTACCAAAATAATCAACTAATAAACCCTAAACAGACAGTCTGCTCTCAACTAAATATTTCCTTTAAATGTAAAGAAATTAACATAACTTGACAAATAAAGTTCTAACATAAACTACCAACAAATAAACAAATTTCTCCCAAACTCCCCCCTTTCTTGTATTGGGCACTTGGTGCAGTCCAGGCCTAGTGGGAGGTATTTAAACCTGCTGCTTCCTCAGTCCAATCTTGTTGTTGAACCGCCCCCCCATCCATGGACCGGGAACCACGGTAACTCAAAAGAAAAGGTAAACATATTAACAATACAAAATTAATCAAACATACATGCTCATCGATCTATTGTGTATGTCTAATATAAATTACCCACCCAAGTCCATGGCTGGTGGTGGTTTAGGCCCTCACATGGTGAAGGCCAGAACTGAGGCCTTCACATGCACGGTGGTGAAACAGGTGTGTACTGGAAGTGTGTGTGCATGCACATGTGTGTAGCCTTGTTTACATATACTTGTGGTGACAGAACACTGGGAGCACATTGCTTTGAGGGGACTGGAGGATGGGCCCCATGACTAATTGTCAAATTTGACAAGAATGACAAGGTTAGAACAGGTGTAGTGCAAGTGCTTAAGAGGCAGTTAGGGTAAGGGTTAAGCTTAGGCAAGTAGCAGATCTGGTTAAGGTTAGGGTCAGTCTCCTGAAACTGGATGTAAATCTATGTACTGACCCTGTAAGTGATGACTGGAAGGATGTGTTTGTGTGTGTGACAGAGTGTGTGTGTGGACTGGATCAGTAGCAAACAGCCTCCCAGCTGACCTTCAGACTAATCTGTGCCAGTTAGCTGCACAAATAGAATGGCAACATTTTTATTTTTAATGATATGTAGCATCCCTCCTTCCCTAGAGAATGTATCAGCTCCAGTACCAGATGGCATTTAAAGGCTGGTAAGACATCACTTGACCAAAAATAGTAATTAAGCAAATCATTCCTTAGTGTTTCCCAAAGTTTCAAGCACTTCTCTGGTGTATTAGGGGAGGTCACAGCTTTATAAAAGAACTCCCAGGTGGTCTTGTGAGGCCCTGACAAGTTAATTTAAATTTTCTTTGCTACTAGATAAACAACTTGTTACGGCTGAGGCATATCTGAACAGAAAGGCAGGACTCAGGGAGATGCAGGGCTCCTACCCAGGTCAGGGAAATATTTATTTAAAGAGACAAGAAGACTACAAGGATCTGGCGCAGGGATTCAGTAGCGGGTCTTGGGCAGCTGGGGCAGCTGGAATGACTGGACCACTGGACGGGCAACCCAGGGTTGGCGGGGAGATGTGGTACACTATTCAGGAGCATAGAAGAGAGCATGAGGGAGGACAACAGACAGACAAAAGTGAAATACAGTGTACAATAACAGATGACCTGTGCATAGGGGGATGCAGGTTCTGGACAGGAGAGCGCTGAGGGCCGGGAAGGTTGTCTCAGGAGCCGGAACCGGAATGGGGTGCATTGAGTCCCAGAGAACGACAGAGCAGGTAGGTGGGAGCCAGGAAGGGGGGAAGAGGCTTGACTTCCAGTAAAAGAGACGTAGGGAGGAGCAAGACCCAAAGCTTCGCTAATACGGACACTTAACACAAACCTCAGGCGGGTACTTCAGAGCGGGAGGGCGGAGCCCACAGAGGTGCTATCGGCACCAAGAAACAGTTCACAAAAAGGGCATTCCTCAGATAAACAGTTCCAACAGTAAAGCACTCTTTAGATAAACAGTTCCAAACGTAAATCACTTCTCAATAAAACAGGCCCCAAAGCAAAGCACTTCTCAGTTAAACAGTTCCAAACAAAAATCACTTCTCAATTAAACAAGTCCCAAAGCAAAGCATTTCTCAGTTAAACTATTCAAACGTAATTCACTTCTCAATTAAACAAGTCCGAAAGCAAAGCACTTCTCAGTTAAACAGTTCAAACATAAAGTACTTCACCGTGAAGCAGGTCGAAAAGAAAAAAGTTCTCCGGAGTGGTTCAACACCTGCGGATTGAGAGATTGGGGGCGTAGTCTTTGCAAAGATGCTGGTAGAAAGACAAGAGTATCATCTGGCAACAAGGACACACCAACGCTGTGCTTAAGTACCACCCAGATGACTGGCATGCCTTGTCGCCGAGAGTGTGCATCTATGCGTGTAGGGGCAGAGTCTGCGGCACCCCCGGTGCCTGCTGACGAGGTGCTGGGAACAGCATGAACCATGGATGTAACACAACTAGCTGTGGATGGAATAGCGAAGCAGAAGTATTTAAACAGAGGTTAAGACATAAGTAAATGTCACCCACTAAATTACAACATGTATAAAAGTAAAAGTATTAGTGTACTTAGAATTTACAGCTTTAAAGGCTACATGTATTGTGAAAAGGGTTGATTGTAGTGACAGACTCAGAGAATCAGGAATCTGCTAGTTACTTCAGCTCTGTGGAGTGTTTATCTAATTGTTTTGGTTTTGCTGTTTTGTTTTGATCTCACTACTTATCAATCTCAGTTCTAGCAGCCACTGTACTTTCAGAGTAAAGGCTTTGATAAACCCACTGTAAATAGTTTATATTTTTAGTATTATTTTTTCAGTTTATTATTGCATTTGAAAATATTTCAGTTTCAAAACTGGTTAGATTGAAAGTGCATATATTGAAGTCCCATATTCATACTATAGCTGGAGGTGGGCTACTTTTCCGTGGCCCACCCTGTACTTATTTACTTGCTCACACAGCATCAAGATGTTTTAAATTGTTGTTTTTATGCCCTTTGAATCAGGGATGGGCAATGATTTTCAAATATTCAACCAGTCATTAAAAAAAAAAATCTAATATTTCATACGACTGGTTGCCTTTAAAACCAAAGAGCCACTGTTTTCCCTTGTTTTCACTGGCATCTGGAAATAATGTGATAATAACATCAGTATATCATTTTCCTACAGCGCCAAATAACAACAGCAGAAACATGCAGAGACTACTGCCATCAAGACATTGTGTGGTACTTCTTTTTCTAAACAAAAATGAGGTGCAGTGCAAACTGCCAGGTTAAGTTAGCATATACATCAACAACAACTATGCACAGCCATTTGAAGGCGAGGTATCCAGCAGAAAGTGGGGTGTGGTCCGTAGATCAACAGTCAGTGTCTAGCTCTGTCACCCGGAAAAGGAAGTTCAATGATCGACATGCAGAGCAGTCAGCGGCCTTCATCACAGAGATGATAGCAAAGGACATGCTGCCCATTAGCTTTGTTGAGGTGGAGGGTTTTCTAATTCTGGTGGCATTTGTTCAGCGAGTATATGGTCCCATCAAGAAAAATGGTCACAGCTCTACTGGATGAACTGTATGATGAGAGAGCGACAGTTGAATCCGACGAAACTGAGCTGTTAGTCAAGAAAACCAATTGACAATGACTGCCATTTTGGTCCTGTTTGGCAAGATCGACATGCAGAGCAGTCAGCGGCCTTCATCACAGAGATGATAGCAAAGGACATGCTGCCCATTAGCTTTGTTGAGGTGGAGGGTTTTCTAATTCTGGTGGCATTTGTTCAGCGAGTATATGGTCCCATCAAGAAAAATGGTCACAGCTCTACTGGATGAACTGTATGATGAGAGAGCGACAGTTGAATCCGACGAAACTGAGCTGTTAGTCAAGAAAACCAATTGATGATGACCAGGAGACAACTACTGAACTAAAAGAGTACTGTCAGGAGAGGTGCCCACCCCTCCAAACCGATCCCATGGAGTGGTGGAAAACCAGTGCGAACAAATACCCCTGACTGGCAAAACTAGCCAGGGAATACTTGAGTGTGACTGCAACATCTGTGCCTTCAGAAAGAGTATTTTCCATGGCGGGACTCATTGTGAACAGACCCATCTTCATCCCGACCATGTGGATATGTTTATGTTTTTGAACAAAAATAAGGACTACACAGCGATATGGCTGCAATGTCGCTCAGATTAGCTATAATGATGACAGACGCACTAATTAATATTCATGTCGGCTTTACCACCATTCAGAGCTGTTCAAAATTTATTATGACACATTAACAGTATCTTTATTGCTCAGCTGATGTCAGCACAGATTTCCCATGGTGCAAATTTTGTTCATCTGAGTGAAAAAATAACCTCACACAAGCATCTGTTGAGCTGCATTTCTGATATACTGTTATAAGGGAAAAGGATTTAATTTTCCTTTATAGGGTTATTGTTACAATTGCTCTCTCGCTGAATGGCGGGAGAGAAAATAAACTGGGACCAAACTGCAGAGGACCGCAGAGGACTGCTAATGGACAGTGGTTTTATTACAGAATGTTATCAGCAGATAAATGGGTACTGATGGGAGTTGTGGCAGTTGTGAAGATAAGAGAGTCTGCTTGAGCCGGAGCAGGAGGGCTGTGGCAGGAGCTCAAGCTGAGGACGCAGCAGATGAGAGGCTCAGGCAGAGATGTGTGGGTCAGGTGAGATGCTGCTAGAGATCATGAGGCTGGGGCTGGAGCTTGTGCTGGAGGCTGCAGCAGAAGAGTAGCCCAGGCTGGATTCCCAGAGAGATGCACAGTTGATACAGGTGCACAAGAACAAGGAACGATCTTACTTGATAAGTAGAATTCTGAGAGAGCCAAACTTTGTGGTCAAAGATACACAGTGAACTGGTGTTGTGGCTAGAGTGTGATGGCGACTAAATTAATTCAGACAAACATCCCAATTTAAAGGATCATTTAATATTACAATTCTGAATAGAGTAGTATTTAAACAGATAATCTTGTAGTTAGGGAAACAGAGAACAGAGACTCTCCTCCTGCAATGTGATAGATAAAGCATTAGATAAGAAGATTGTCAAAAGTGTCTGTCCAGTCAGTTGTTGTTGGTCACGAGTCAGTCTTTCTGTCAGTCTTAATTCAGTGTCCCCCCAGCCAGCTGGGTCAGCGTCCCCCCACAAAATATACTCTCCCTGTCACAGTAGCATTGTCATCCTCTCTCCTTCTTCTGCTCTAACCCAGCTTTTTATCTGCTCGCAATTACACAGCCCTCCATGGCCTGAGCCATGAAGACGCGGTCCCATGCCAGCTACGGGAGACAACACCCTGAGATGTACTTCAAAAACAGGAAACATCTTGACCAACTTACATAAGCTCATTGTTCAGCTCACATGAACTTAATGAACCCATAACCACTCAGCTCTCCCTTACACAAATAATATCTATATATGAAGTACATACTGTTACCTCTGGAACCTTGTTTATTTTTAGCCACTACACTGGCGTTGACTGAGAGTATGCCTGGGTCTTAAGTAGCAGTGCTTGTACTCAGGAGATGTTCTATGGCTGCGTTTGTCATCAGGGGATTTCCAACAGCTGTGAGTTGTGAGCTCCTGGAAGCCTGGAGCTGAGGAGAAGTAGAGAGAGGTAGAGAGAGAGAGAGAGAGAGAGACGGGCAATGGCAGCAAACCTGACAGGGACCCCCCCCCAACGGG